CTCCATGTTACTGTGACACATCGAACACTTGATCATTTGCACGACCCACTTGAATTAAAAGTTTGACATGTTTACATTATTACGAAGTTAACGGCCTCACAAGCATACCCCAGTTAAATTGAGAGTTAAAGTTTCTCACTGCAAAGAGGTTTAAGTAAGGCTTGACTGGGTTTAATTGACTGAAACTGAGTTCTAGATAATAGTATAATTATTATTAATACTTACAATCTCTGTATCTTATTATTGAAAGTTAAAGCCATGGAAACTTAAAACTAATAAGTTCTTTTAATAAACTAAAAATTAGAATGACTCAAAAGACAAATTATTGCAAAATAATATTTAGTGTAATTCTTTTTTTTAAATGAATTAGCGTTCTATAAAGAGGTTTTATAACTAAAAAAGAAAAATACAATTCCATCCTGAAATGTAAAAATTCGAAATTCAAATGAAAAAGGAATTAGTGAATGATCTAGACAGAGTCGTATGAGTGTTTTATGAGCACTTAAGTGCCAACCGAAGAGGATGCTTAAAACTTGAGCATCCGAGACCGCAGTGGGATCGAGTAGGCTCTACTTATAACATGACAATGTCAGATTTCATCGTCGAGGACACTTTTATGGCCAGTTACAAAAAGTTTATGAATACAGGTTCTATGAAATACTTGCTAAACTAAATTCTTGTCTTTTATTATATTAACAATTTTTTTTTGTTAGAGGAGGCAAGAGAAGGCTTGAAGCGCGCTGCCTTTTAAGAATTGGTACGCTCTTTCGTTGAAGGACCCTAAGTCGAATTGGTTCGGAAATACTTCAGTGGGCAGCTGGTTCTACATAGTGGTGCGCGGCAAAAATTGCCTTAAATAATCAGTTGTGGAACGACGGACGTCGAGGTGATACGGATGGTATTTTGTATTCTGCCTTGACGCCTGATGATGAAACTTAACTGAACATGATAAATGCGGTAGAAGATGCAGAGAGATTTACAAAAATACTCCCGTGTGCTGTTCGATAAAAAAAGTCACAAAGAAAGTTCTCTTCTTAAATAGATTTAAGAAATATAAAACCAAATAGAAAATAAAATATTAATAGCAACATGCAAAGCGTCTGATCTCCAATATTAAACAAAGAATCCCTTTCAAAGCTCCAACGATTCAACAACGCAAAAAATTAAATTACAATGAATCCAGCAAGTTTCAATTTTCAAAATGCTCCGTAAACTTGAGACGCTGCTTGCAGCTCTCTGCATAATATCCTTGCAACTTAAATTTCCATAATTAGTCGACGCCTATCTACCTATCAGTTTACGATAGTAATTCAGTTCTCTCTTTGTTTTTTTTATAGAACTAGGGGGCAAACGGGAGGAGGCTCACATGATGTTAAGTGATGCCGCCGCCCATGGACTCTCTCAATGCCAGAGGGCTCGCGAGTGCGTTGCCGGTCTTTGAAGAATCGGTATGCTCTTTTCTTGAAGGTCCCTAAGGACCCTAAGTCAAATTGGTTCGGAAATACTTCAGTGGGCAGCTGGTTCCACATAATGGTGGTGCGAGGCCAAAACTGCCCTAAAAAACGCTCAGTTGTGGAACGGCGGACGTCAAGGTGATACGGGTGGAAAATCTTTGTATTCGCAAAACAAATTTCAAGTTTATAATTACACAAATCTCAGACCGGCTCGAGTACTAAGTTAGATGTAAATAGAAACTGTTAATTTGAAACTGCAAAAAGTGCCTTAACAGTGTAGCAAGAGGACAAATTAGAGGGAATGGAATATAGTTTACTTTAAGTTAAACTTATTACGATCCTCGAGAAACAAGCTCCCGGAGGCTCGCTCGGCGCACGGGTCAAGTGCCCAATTTGTCACCCGTGCAAACTTCCGACTACTTACGTCGAAACCGTTCGATTCCATTAAACTTTCAACATCTTTTGAAGCTATTTACTTTTTTGAATTCGTCTAATTTCGCCTAAGCTGGGAAATATTCTCGAAAGATTCTATTCAGTACTAAGTGAGGTACAAATCAAAATAAAAATCGCCCCGGGATACTTACAATGCGCTATCATAAAAATTAAATTAGGCCAGGAGTTTCTCTGTAAGTGCACGCCATTTTATAGGGACGCTTCGCGATAAAGCGTCGGGGGCACGGCACGCCACATCAAACGTTGATACTGCGTCGGGCGCTCGCACAAATCGAATTTGCCAGCACTTTTCTTTCTTTACCAGTCAAAAGCTCAGTTCTTTTTTTAAATGCATCAATGTATTCATACAGAGTATAAAGGAACACTTCTACACAAATTTTATTCATCGCTGAAATATTTTGCAGATCATAGAATTATTTGGGTGATATCAAACATTTTGATGGGTTTTTAAAACAATTTTATTTCTATATTATATTAGGTTTATTATAACGATATCAGATCGATGCAGTCAATGAATTTCAATAGATTTTCTAACTTGTCTGTTTAAAACATGGTAACCATGGTAACAATACTACACTTTATCTCCATGGTTACATTTATAGTATTTTTAAGGTCCTTAGAGGTAAAATATATAATGCGGAAATGTTGGAGAGACTGGGGCTGCGTGTGCCAAATAACCACACTCGGCGTGGCAAGCGGTCGCAATTGCTTGCAGTGCCTCGGGAGCGTACAAATTTACTTATAGAAATACCATTTACGCGTGTCTTGCGCATCCTTAATATTATTGCTTGTGGGTCGGATTATTTAGTGTACACTGGATGAATTCACAAGAATTGCATTATTTATAATAAGTTATAAAAAGGTTGAAGCTTTAAGTTTTTACTTGTCTTGTTTATATCGTGTTAAGTTTAATTTTAATAATAATAGCTTTCTATTGTATTTGTATTAAGTTACTGTAAAAATAGGAAATAAGGTAAAATAAATACTTTTGATAGCTTTTTAGGTCTTCGATCACGGGCTTGACACGCTATAACACTCCACGTCAGAACTAGTCTTAGACCATAGTAACAGTTTAATTGTTATGTTATTTAAAATAAACGATTTGGGCTACCCCAATTTTTATGTCATTTTTTTAATGTTCATTAATTGGAATGATTTACCATAAGAGTGCTTTAATTGTTTACAAAGATTGAATGACATTTAATCCCCCTTCCTTTTTTTAAAGCCCATATAAAACGTTGAAGTAACTAACAAAAGTTTAACTACGTCTCAAGCAAAATCAAATGGCTAATTTGTCAGCAGAAACTTGCAATGGCGGACTTTTGCCACCGCTGCAATTCGATTAAAGTTCCGTTGTACTTTACCTACAAGAAGCGCCTACTTAACGCAATAGAGCTGTACACTTACGGCAGAAATTAAATTAACTAAGTTATCAGAAGAGCTTCCCTACCGATGCCCTTGAGCACTTAAGAACAAATTGTATTTTCAACCAGAACTAGTTTCGAGTGAAATATATTAGCCGTACTTACCAAACTTTAGATTAGAATGGAATTTATACACTTTTGTTAAAGGTCAAGAGAATTTATAGTAAGTACAGTATAACTCGTTATAACGAACAAATCTCTATAACCTAAAAATGACTTAAAATTGTTTGGATTTGGACACAAATACATTCATTCACTCTTTATAACGCAACAGCTATTCTCTATTACGAAGAAATATTTTTATGTTTAGACATCAACAACATACTTAATGTAATTGTTTTTATAATCAAATCAAAACTAACCTGAGGTTATAAAGAGCCGTCTCGCGTTTGTTATTATTAATTGCATTAACACGTGTGCCATTATTCTTAGATTACATTGCCTGTAGGAAATTTTGGTCTCAGTTACTAAACGCACCATCGTCCCCTATCGTGTATTACGTCAGGCAAAGAACAGAATATATGTGTTAATTCTCTATAACGAAAAAAATACTCGGTCTCTTGTAATTCGTTATAAAGAGTTTACACTGTTTATGTTATAACAAGTTCTTTTACATTAATTTTATTATTAACATAGTATAAAAGAAAGTTTGACAGGCACCTCCATTGGTCTAAGATCCCGATATACAACGACCTTCACGGAGATGCTTATTTAATGAAACGTATTTTATATTTAATTTAATATATCAATAAATATAATCCATATGGGTTGCCTAGCAAATTTCAGTCCAGAGTATTTTAGTTAATATTAAAAAAATAATTTATTTTAAACATTTCACCGGTATGATTATTAGATAAATTCTATACCAATCGAAAGTATGAAGCCCATAGAATATACAAACGTTAGGTTGTTTTTAATCAATTAATTATTTATGTGTATATTTTTTATGTGACACTAAAGTATATATACATCTTTAGTAAAAAAGAAAGTAATAGTGATACATATATAATACTACCATGATTAAAAATATTGATTGAAAAAAATTAAAAAAATTTACTACATGCAAATTATAAAAAAATATTTTTTTTTAAATATTAATTAAACATACTCTGGACTGAAATTTGCTAGGCAACCCATATGGATTATATTTATTGACATATTAAATTAAATATAAAATACGTTTCATTAAATAAGCATCTCGGTGAAGGTCGTTGTATATCGGGATCTTATACTACATTTTATTTTTACGTTGTTTGATCCTAAAAAACAAATTTAAAAATATTTCCAAATATGTCTCGTTCGGTATCGGTCTGTATTGTACCGTTGTATTTTTTATAAAGTAGTCCGAACTTATGGACATATAATTAAGTGGGTTTTAGATTACACGAATAGTACTTTAATAGGGTTTAATAAATAGTTACCTATTATACAGGGTTTTTAAAACACTCCATTCCTTATTGTAAATATTTTGTTATCCGAAAATAGCTTTGCCTACGTGGATTTCGTGTATTGACTTCTTCAACAATAATCGTTATACTTCAGCCAATTTAAATAAAACCACTATTAATCCTTACTTTTTTACTATTAATCCTATTAACCTTTTGTAAAAAACATAAAAATCCGTCTCCTTTATTCACGAGACTACATTTTACTACGGTTTTGCTTTAGTTCACATTGAATTGCACCACTCAAATAAATTCATACTTAATCTATTCCTACCTTCAGACAGGAACAGGCGATCTGCATCAGCTGGCTGGTCAGGAGCTGGGCGGTGTCTTAGGGTCACATGGAGAGACGGACCCCGCGGAGGAACTTCAGGTGGTGCTGGCTCCGGTGGGGAATCACACTCTCTCTCACTTTGGCAAACATTTGTTGGACCTAAAAATAATATAATTAAATAGCACAGCCTCTGCGGTGATCATGTATTTGGGATGATAATTTCAATTATTTGTGATTCATCACAGCCCAATCACAGATATGAGCTATCTTTCAGTCAGCCAGTAGTTGAAGAGAACGCGTGTTGTTCTGGTTCTACTTAAAGTTACTTAAAGTTTGCCGAGTCGTTTAAAAAACCTTGCTGTGTTTATTATTTTTATTAATTCTACATTAGAATCATTTGTATATTCTGATGGCTGGCGGACTCATGCGACTTCTTCGATAAAAAATATCCTCTCTTCGATACAAAGAGTCCCCTCGTGAGTTGTGTGCTGTGGGCTACTCGATTGTGAGGAAGTTGCATGGATCTGGTTAGCACTGCGCCTTCTTAAGTTCTTATATCATTTTCCCACGTGTATATCCATTCTATCCGATAATTTCATAAGTCTGATTGTCCTCGTTTTAACGTGTGTGATGTTTGGGAGCAAAAAAAAAAAAAGATAAAAAAAGTAAAGATTACATATAATCAAAATATATTTATTCATAAAGGCGCTACAACCTCTTTGGTCTGGGCCTCAGATTTCTGAATCTTTTCAATCTAATAGGTGATTAGCCTCCAGTGCCTGACACACGCCGTCGAGTGTTTGGGTCTAAGACATGTCGGTTCGAGCAAATGTTAAATGCGCACATAGAAAGAAAGTCTATTGGTGCACAGCCGGGGATCAAACCTGCGACCTCAGGGATGAGAGCCACTAGGCCAACACTGCTCAAACAGGTGTTAATAAATAAATATTTAAAATCTTTTTTTTAAATTTACAATTACTGTTCTCAAGTCAAGGGCATAAAACGGACGGTGCGTGTTGATCCCACGAGAATGTAAGTGCGTGCTCCTGTTTCCCCATGTCTACTGCTGATAGTTAGCGATAGAGTTAGTGATAGATAGATAGTGATTATTATTGATTAACTATTAATTACTTAAAGATATCATGTGGAACATGGTATAAAGGCTCTTTACAAACATTATGTAAAACAAAAAACTTGGCGATTAAAAAGAGTGGAACGGAAGAGAAAAAGAAGAGAAGAGAGGTAGTTTTGACTTGCGTTTCTTAGACAATCTAATTCTTGAAACTCCTAATCATAAAACTGAATTCTATCACTCCTCCTTTACTGTGCATAGTATCCTGCTATGGAATTCCCTACCAATTGATATTAGACGAGCTCAGTTCTTAAATTTATTTAAAGAGCTTCTTTTTGATCATTTTTTTTTCTGCCTCGTAATTAGCTCTGCTTATATATATTAATTATTGTGACTCTGTTAACCTTTTGATTGTATTTTAAATTTTTGTTTATACATATTATTTTTATTTAGACTTTACTTTATTTTATTTTAGTTAATGTAACGTGTTATTATGAGTTTTTTTTTGTTAATAATTTTTGCATTTCTTGTACTCTACCCTCTGTAGGTGTTTCTTTTTGATTTGACCACATAAGGGTTGCCTGGAAGAAATCGCTTGTTAGCGATAAGGCCGCCCGTTGCCTTATAACTTTTGTTACCTGCTTTTTTATTTTTGTTATGTTTATGTTTGTTAATAAGGTAATAAAGCATTAATAAATAAGAACTGGTAATAAACTCTCCGCCACTCTTTTTAATAGCCAAGTTTTTTGTCGAATCTTTAGTCGAAATCAAAACGCTTTGCATTCTGTCTGATCGTATCAAAAATTACTCTCAAAAGATACGTTTCATGAATTGCTTACACATAATATATTAAACTTGTGATGAAATACGCACATGCGATCACATATTCCGCTAATACAATAGAGAAATGTAAGGAATGAACGAGGCATATATTCAATAAATGCCGTTGTAGTTGTTAGGTATTCTGTGTGTAGCATGCCTATTATAATCCATCTAAGGTGGGAGCATGCCTTTGATGAGAATACTCGGCATACTTCAACGAAGCCCGACGCACGTGAAAGCATAACAGCGTAACAATGTTATTAGCAGTCATAATTTTTCAACATATTTTATTATGCAAAGGGAATATTCCAGTTTACATAGTTGATACATGATTCCAGAGTTATATGCTGTTATATGCTAAGGATTTGAATATCGGCTATACGCCTTGGGTGTTTATATTTAATAATAATAAATCGTTTATTTGCAATGTAAGTGGTACATTCAACTCTTCTTTCGCAGTAATAAAAAATGATTTATTACATGTTTTTGATCAATTAAAATAAAATTATAAAATATAAATATTTAGAGTTAGATCTGGATATCGGTGAGTGTTGCCCGGGTACTTTTGGGTGGAAGAAATGGGATGCCTAGAGGTTAACCGAAATTTAAACTTAGTTAAAGGCTTAAAAGATGACCATAACTTTGGTACAAAATATTAGAACTCTGAATTATATATTAAAGGCTTCTTACAGAGGCTATATTAGCCATATATTAATGAACTCAATTTATGAAATAGAAGGCAAGGGCAGGAGGCTCACCTGATGTTAAATGATACCGACGCCCATGGACACTCACATTGCCAGAGGGCTCGCAAGTGCGGTGCCCTTAAATATTCTATGTTTCGGATATACATACATTTGTAACAGAATAGTAACTATAGACTGTTATTAACTAAATACCATTGAGGTTGCATTGTCTCGCCCCGCGGCTCGCGTTGTCATCCTGCCGCCGACCCCGTCGTGACAACGTGCCCCCCTCATTGTTGAATATTTCCTCGCCTGGGAAGCATAAAAATTATCAAATAACTGTATGTCCTGTAATCACACATTAATCAACGTTACTTTCTGAAAATTTATTTATTATTCAGTTTTTTATAAGATCTGTCTTCTATATAAGAAAGAGATATCAAAGAGGTAAACAAATTGGTGTATCGTATTCGTATCGTATAGTATTCGTATCGTATCGTATTCGTATCGTATTCATTTTATTTTCAGCTGATTGGAACGTACTAACTTTTAAATCCTAAAACATTTCTTCATTCCCTTATAATTTTGATGATGTGTCTACAGCCTGATTGATTTATTAAAGGTTATTTGATAAACAACCCACTTAAAAATGCGTTCCATGTCCTTAAAGACATGCAGACTCATTTTATAAAAAAATATTGTCGTAGAAGCGCCAAGCCGAAAGACAGAAGTACGTACCTTTGGAGTTCCTATTGCGTCTGTAGAAGCGGCGGTTAGTGCTTTCGATCGGAAATGGCGAGGCCTGTCGTTGTGGACTGTTGACGAAGCGGGGCTTTTCATCACCACCTTCAGAACCATAGATACGTCGTTGCTCGCCTGCAAAAAAGTGACTTTGTTATATACTAGTTGAAGCCGGCGAAAAGGGACGTATTCTAAAGTATTACAATTCACTACAATTCATTCCACATAGACCCATTTCATAATTGGCGGAAATTTCAATAGACTGATATGCCCCACGGTTCTTGTAGGTCTTGTATATAGGGGCAAACGGGCAGGAGGCTCATCTGATTTTAATTGATACCGCCTATACATTAACACTACTAGAAGACTCGCTAGTGCGTTGCCGGCCTTTAAGGACTTAGGTTGTAATCTTGCAAAACCATTCATCGAATTGCTTGATCTGACGTCAGGTTATATTGAACGTCAAACATTTGTTAAATTAATAGCATCAAAAAAAGAAAAAAAGTCGAATTGCTTCGGAAATATTGCAGTGGCTGCCCACTGCACTGGTATGATGTGCTGGTTCCACATAGTGCGCGGCAAATCATGATTATGGTCTTCCTTGATGAACTAATGCAACAATTATTTTTAATTCGAGTATTCAAAAAACCAACTGTTTATATAAATATAGATAAATAAATTTATTATACATTAAATAGTTCACTAGTGTAAACGGCATAAAAAAGTCGGTTTTTAGGTCTGGGCCTCAGATTTCTGTATATGTTTCATGATCATTCGTCAATCTAATAGGTAAGTAGATGATCAGCCTTCTGTGGCTGATACACGCCGTCGACTTTTTGGGTCTACGTTTAGATTTCCTGAAGATTTCCTTAAACGTTCGAGCGAATGTTAAATGCGCATATAAATAGTCTATTGGTAAGTCTACCTCAGGGATAAGAATCGCAAGCAGAAGCTACTAGGCTAGCTCTGCTTATAAAAAATAAATAAATAGTGGCGCTACAACCTCTTTAGGTCTTGGCCTCAGATTTCTGAATCTGTTTCATGATCATTTTTAAATCTAATAGGCAGGCAAGTAGGTGATCAGCCTCCTATGTCAATATAATGTGCCTGACACACGCCGTCGACTTTTTGGGTATAAGACATGTCGGTTTCCTCACGATGTTTTCCTTCACCGTTCGAGCAAATGTTAAATGTGCACATAGAAAGAAAGTCTTTTGCACACCCGGGGATCGAACCTACGACCTCAGGTATAGAGTCGCAGCTGAAGCCACTAGGCTAGCTCTGCTTACAAACCTAACCCAAAACGATCTAAAAACATAAAATATTCAGTAGCCTATTTACTGAACATTTGTATATTAAACAAAAGACGGTACAAATGTCCTTGGTTCCTTTACAATAATTAATTTAAGCCATTGTTTTTAAGAACAACTGAGTTTAATAATTCTTAACTAGAACATAAGTGCGGATGCTGTGGTCAAACTGGCAGAGGGTACTCGCCGCGGGGTCTAAGCAGCTGTGTAAATAAAACTCATATTAAAACAGAACACACTATGAAAATAAGGGGAGAGGTTCGTTATAAGCTGGATCCTGAGACAGAATGAAGTATAAGAAAAATGTTATACTGGTCTTTCTCTAGGACATTGTCTAGTAATAATAGTATATGCAACACTAAACGCATGGGGCACTGAGAAAAACACACTGCATCTGTGACAACCATATAGAAGACAGAATAATTGCCTATATGTTATAACTAATAATATATAGTGTAAACTCTTTACAACGAATTTCAAGGGACCGAGCTTTCTCTTTCGTTATAGAGAGTATTCGTTATAGGGACTGAATAGAAAATGAAACCAAATTTACCAATTACACTTAAGTATGTTGTTGATGTCTAAATATGAAAATAATTCTTCATTTTTAGACAATCAATTAATAGTTATAGAGAATGTCTGTTGCGTTATAAAGAGTAAATTATTGTATGGGTTTTGTGTTAAACTAAACAAATTTGTTTACATTATAGAGAACGTTTCGTTATAAGGAAAGGCGATATAAAGTGTTTAAACTGTATATAGGTCTGGGCCTCAGATTTCTGTATCCGTTCCGTGATCATTTCTAATCGGCAAGTAGGTTGGAAGACATGCCTTTCCTCACGATGTTTTCCTTCATAAAACAAAGTCAATTGGAACTGAAAAACTTCTTAAAGTCCATTGGTGCACAGCCGGGGATCGAACCACCCCAGAGATGAGAGTGGCACGTCAACTCTGCTCTAATAAACAAATCTTCTGTGTGCCTTCCACAAAAAAAATCCTCTTAAAAAACCCTTTACCTTTCAGTAAATATAAGGATGTATAAATGTTATTTTAAGTTAAACAGTGGGGATCTAACAAGTTCGACCTCACATCTAAAATTAACTATTTTAACAGGGCTTAACGTAACATTAACTTAAGGTCTACAAATAGCCAAAGGCTATGCAAAACTAAGCACCTTGCTTTAGTTTACTCGGCGAATTGGAAACTCAATTAGTGGGTAAAACGACTGGATAATTGTACAAGTAATGATGTGTTTGGTTTTATATAATAAGAATATATGTATATATGAAAAAAATATGTGTGATTTTATATAATAAAAAATATAGTATAAATCTTTATTCAATAATATTAATAACCAATGGCGCGAGGTTTCAGGTCTGGGCCTCAGATTTCTGCATCTGTTTAGTGATCATTTGTCAATCTAATGGGCAAGTAGGTAGCTTCCTGTGCCCGACACAGCGTCGACTTTTTAGGGCTCAGCCGGTTTCCTCACGATGTTTTCCTTCACTGTTTGAGCGAATGTTAAAGATGCACACAGACAGAAATTCCATTGGTAGCTGGGAATCGATTCTAAGACCTCAGGGATGAGTCGTACGCTGAAGCCACTAGGTCAACACTGCTCCTGTTTCAATCAGTTTCTAAATCTTCCGAGACACTAAAACGCCTCGTATTGTATCCGTTATTACAAGAACCCAGTACTAATATTTGGGATCGGCATTATAATAAGATCATGTCGTTAAATAAGATACCAACGCATACATGATATTTTCAGTATATGGGTTATTGGGGATTACCGTATACCAAGCGAAGGGAAAGCAATAAAATTATCCTGTTTCTTAAGCTTATTGTCATCTCATAGTTATTGTCTTTAGAACATGTATAGAATTAGATTCTTCATTTTGGAAAAAAAAAAGATTATTATTATATATTGTTTCAATCACTGAATAAAATACATTTTTGGTTATTTAAGTTTGTTTTGCCAACATTATTTTTGGGAAGAAAATGCTGCAATTTCTGTAGTATATGTCATATTACAATTGCTTCCACCATTCGTAAGTTATGAAACTGACTGTTGTCCTAATAAGATTAAATAAAGTAGGAAATATACACAAAACACGTACATAACTAAGTATTGAAATTCACAAGTGACAATATCCGTTGAGATCACACCATTGCAAAGAACGTAATTAAGGTTGTGTACCTACAAATGTGCTAGTAGTAATAAATAGATAAACAAAAAAGGCAATTTCAGTTCCATTTTCTCAATCACTCCTTAACACACACACAGTTAATTAAAAACTGATATACGCACACACGGGCAGGCCTATTCATATTCAAATTTGATAAATATCAATTTTTAAATACTTGTATTCGTGTGTTATTTTAAGATAATGGAAAATGGAAAACCATTTTGCAAGAAAAAGTTTAATAAAAAACTTTATAATTATTGTTTATTTATTGAAGTTCAACATTTCATATATATATTGCTATATCTACAGTACATATAATGCTAAAATACATGGAAATTATGGTAAAAAAAATTGTGCGTGTACTAGGTGTACACACGTAAGAAGTGAAACTTCTTTATGATCTTATTTTTCGAAAAATGATCTACTATATGCAACTTTACAGAAATTCGTTAAATTAGATAAAGTTTAACAAAAGGCTTTTATTATCATAGACATGAATACAAATATTTCATTTTACCTTATTACTACGAAGATTATTATAGAATTTCATTAATTGTAATAGAATTATTAGTATCATTGAAAAAAGTGACGATTTGCTACAAAATTTCTCCCATACGTCGATAAAGAAGTTTCATTCCAACGCCGATAAAGAAGTTTGACTTCAAAAAGCAACATGGCGCGTAACCGAAAAATGTGACGCGTAACGAAAAAATGTTACACTAAATTTTTTTTCCAACCTCGATAAAGAAGTTTCACTTCAAAAATTGTTACAAAAAATACAATAAAAATATTACACTTCCAAGTACTAGTAAAATAGCGGATTAGGAATATTTTAGGCACTTAACAAAGCGTTTTTGTTAATCACTTTTTAAGTACATATCACACACACACACTCACTCACTTATAAATTATACAAGCCCATTTGCTTGTATAGTTTGTATGTATTGACAACAAACCATTTTATACGAAAAGGTAATCATTTTTATAAATAAATTAATTCAAACACAGCTTTTTAAGATTTTGTATTTGCCTTTACAAAGGAAACAATAACTCAGGAGTAGATCATTACTATTGCTGTATCGTATTACTTTTTCATTGTCGATTTATCATTGATTAGGTTGAGATCAGATATTTCATCTTATGCCTACTCGAGCTCGCAGACAGGTTTATTATTTAATATTCATAAGATATCCCGATTCCACCCTTATTTATTAGACTTTAAGACTCATATTTCCACGTTTATATCCGGATGTTGCTTCCCCTCGGCAAACAAGGGAAGATTGAATATGAAAATTTAATCGATTAATTCATTCGATCACTTATACATCTTTTTATTATTTATGGATTCGCGTTCCACAACAACGAGAAAGAAATGGGTCATTTATAGGTAAATTGTTTAATTTTTACTTTTATTTACATACACTTAGAATAATTAAAAAAAAAATAAAAAGGTTCTCGTAAAAATGTTGAAATTTACTTGTTAAAATTAATTGTTCTGTAGGTAATTATGTTAAATTATAATGAATTTGTTTTTGTACGATTGTTGCAAAATTTCAGTAACAGTCCGATTTAAAAAATCTTTCAATTATAAAAAATAAATGTTGTCGTTGTCATGTGTTTATCATTAAATTTTATTTCTTCTCTTTGTTTTGTTAGTTATTGAGCAGTGTTGGCCTACTGGCTTCAGCGTGCGACTCTCATCCCTGAGGTCGTAGGTTCGATTCCCAGCTGTGCACCAATGGACTTTATTTCTATGTGCGCATCTAACATTCGCTCGATCGGTGAAAGAAAACATCGTGAGAAAACCTAGCCTTAGACCCAAAAAGTCGACGGCTTGCGTCAGGCACAGGACGCTGATCACCTACTTGCATTTAGATTAACAATTGATCATGAAATCTAAGGGTTAGACCTAAAAAGGTTGTAGCGCCACTGATTTATTTTTTATTTTTGTATGTTATTAGTTGCCTTTATTAATAATTCATTATTTTATTTCTGTTCTCGCATTATTATTTAATTCTTGTGCAATATAAATAATTCGAAATTCAAATGCGTATTTTCATAGAATGGTCCAATCACATCCTACTAATAATTCATCTTCACTTCAATTATAATCTACCTACATTAAATAAATTCAGCTTTATGTTCTTGGTAAATAAGAAATATATGCAATGTATATTTGTTAAAAGCAGCGCAGAACTCACAAGTTTATTCAACATTTATGGAAATTCTCTTACACAGTAACAAGTTGTTTTAACATTAAATACTAGTAATGGTTGCGAAAGGAATACTTAAATAAGCAGTAAGTACACTCAACGTGCGGCGCTTTAATAAACAGAAACGTTTGCAGGAAAGAAAATTTATTCAAAGGAAAATGATACCTACAGTGATGAGCCGAATTAAATTTTCAAATACAATCGCTGTTTACCCTAGAGAGAACCTATGCGGTGTATATTAGGAGCTTTCATTAATAATTTTATTTGGTTGAACTCGTTCTCCAGGGCCTGGAAGATTGCTACATAAACCAATAATTTTATTGGCTCTGAGATCGTGCCTTCAATTACGTTTGCCTTTTAGACATATTTTTTTTTTTTTTTTTTTTATTTGGACCACAAAATTAGGACAAACACATGATATAAATTGACATACATACATAAATATCAAAAGCGGTGCCGTCCCTATAACATGTGGACACGACCAGCGAAATCAAGTAGATACAAAAAACAGTGTTAAATACAAACAAGCATAAAAATTAAAAATGCAAACTATAAAAGAATTAAACTATTTGAACCAAGAAAATAAATTATCGGTACTGTGTCCTA